GCTCTGTCCTGTCTGCCATAGCGCCATACCTCTTATCTCCATCTCCCTCTCATGCATATCTCCTTCTTTTATCTCATTCCGATATATCTTCATTCTTTTTCCTTCGCGCTTTCCTCGTGCGTCCCTATGCTTTTCTCTCCCTCCCCGTCCCCCCCCGCCGGCCCTTCCTCCTCTCTATTTTCCTTATCCCTTTCTTCTCCGTCACATCTATTTCCTTCCCTGTTTCGGAGGGAGAGAGAGAGAGAGAGAGAGAGAGAGAGAGAGAGTTATGACGTTTGCTGCCGTCCTATTGCCTTGTAAGCTTGTTGTGGGGGAAAATGAGGGATTGAAGTTGTGTTAAAGGGAGTGGGTATTGTGTTAGGGAACTGTTTAAGGCCGGGGGAGGGGGGGTGATGATTATTATATTGGAGAAGTGTTTAACGCTTAAGAGTACGTAAGGCTATTCCACATTTTAAACAACCAAGTTTGTTATCCAATTTTGCAGCATCATAAACTTCTCATAACTCTTTGCATGAATCAAGTAAAGACAAAATTGAGTAGAAATGAACGCTCCGTTCAATAGATGTACAGTTCGGGTAAAGATCATTTGGATTTAGGGGGTATTAATTTATAGATTTGTCTTATGGCTGTAAACAGCTGAGTGATGGTATGAGCCAGCTGGGACGGTGAGCCGTATACTAAGTGTTAAGGCAGGGGGGGGGGGTATAGGGTTGGAAAAGTTTTCAGGCAGGGGGGATAGATTTTTTGCATTGGGGAAGTGTTAGGCATGGAGAGCGGGGGGAGGGGATATTGCATTAATGAATGGAACGGGGGGGAGTGGAAGCGGGGACAATGAAGAGGGGAGGAGGGGGTTTCAAAACGAGATTGAGGACAGAGTTGGCTGATCTGTTGCCTCGTTGCCTTCGTTAAAGTGAAATTTCATCTTGACATTAATTTGTGCGTTCGGCGCAGTTGGTTTTGAACTTGGAACAGTTTGCGTACCGGCATCAGTCTGGCGCTTTGCTGTAGCACGCAAGAGACCCGTGTTCGTTTCCCGGGTTGGGGAGGGGGGGGATTTATTTTCGAGTAACCTAGTCTCTCTGAGTCTAGTGGGATGTTGTATCCCTCTCAGAGTTTATCTAAACTGAGTCGATACGGGTGTAAAAACACCTACATTAAAAAAAACCCAATAGTTTACGTTCGTGTATGTGCCTATCAAACCCGTACTGCGTGCCGACCGCTGGTTTTTACTTGGGGAAAATCGAACAGAGTGTAAACATGTCGGGGGAAAAAAGTAAAATTTAGGCTCCCATTCTTAATATCAAGTCAGCGCGTATTTTGGGTATGATGTCATGTCGACCTAAATATATGCCCCCCAGGTCTGCCCCCACTGAGAATGGAGATTCCGCTTGTAAGTGTTTTAAGTCACGTATGATTCCAGGGAGTGTCTACAGCTGACATTTACACAAAACACACTTCCGTGATCTCTATCAGCTAGTTAAGAGTGCTTACATCATTGTTTCATTTCTCTGTAATACCCAGTGCCCGTCTGCCCCCAATGAGAATGGAGATTCCACATGTAAGTGTTTTAAGTCACGTATGATTTCAGGGAGAGTCTACAGCTGACGTTAGTTTATCAAAACAACTTCCGTGATCTCTATCAGCTAGTTAAGAGATCTTACATCATTGTTTCTTGTTTAATACCCAGTGCCCATTGGGGGAATCGACAAAACGATCGCCAAACGATCGCCAACCGATCTCCCAACAATTCGAGACCTGAAAACAAAAGCATTTGTTTTTTGAGGCTGCGAGTCGGGCGATCGGCTTGTTTGTGCCGCGATGGTCTCTTTGCGCCCTCAATCTGGCTAGCCCCGCCTACCAAACCGAAACGAACCGAACTGAACCGAACCGAACTGATCGTGCCTATGGGGGAGCACAGAACAAAATACTTTAAAAAAGTACGTGTGGCAAGGAACCTGTCTCATCTCGGTGGCACAGAAAGGATCCCTAAAAGTATGTTTTTTTTAAAACCAATCCCCATGCACCACATAAGACACTGATGCTTTTTCTATAGAACTAGCATCTTAATTATTAGTTTCTATACTATTGAGAAATACCCAAATCTGCTCGTACCTCCCCTATGTTGAAGGATTCTGATTTTAAAAAATGTCGTTAGATTTTTTCTACGATGGACGCCTGATTTGCTATGGTCATTTAAAACTTTCCCTAGTCCAGCCGCATGACGTCACATGACACAACGCAGTGAGCGACTGTGAGCGATGGTGCGTGATGTGTCCCCCGCAACGGAGATTCGGGACAATAGGAATTGTTTCTCAATACCTACAAATTAGGTGCGCCCATGGCGTAGCGATCTTGACCGATAGCAGGTTTTGTCTGTGGGCGTTTAGTGGAACTTTATAGGGGAATTCTCGTAACTATCGGTACGGATTGACAAGGGGAACAAAAAGGTTCATGGCATGTCAGGGGCCTTAGAAAGAACAACTTCAAGCATGAAAATGGAGATTGAGGCCGTAACAAGAGCGCTTGGATGGCTTCATAATACAAGACCAAGAACTACTCATCTCATCATTGTCACAGACTCCCAGAGTATCTTGCGAAGGGTTGAGAAAGGTCTTCTTCGGAGTGAATGGATGAACCCAATACAACACTCATCACTTAGAGCCATCACGTGGATATTCTGCCCTGGGCACTCTGGAGTGAAAGGCAATGAGGAGGCTGATATGCTGGCAGGCAATGCCGTGGTTGATGGTGAGGTGAAATTTGACAAAGGAGAAGTGTTGAAGACCCTGGAAAAAAAGTTGCGGGATGAAGAAGACAGGGAGACAGCAGAACACCACGCAATCATTAGGATGCGTGAAATGGGGATAGAGAGGGAGAAGGAAGAAAGGAACGATTATCTGGAAAGGAAAGACGTCGCCATAATCAAACAGCCACCGGAACAATCAGTATGGATACCTTGCGGGCTTTGGTGCTGGGGAAACTGAGCACTTATGGACCTGTCCGGTGTGTAATGACGTTGTTGGCCAGGACAGGTAATACAGGTAAAGATCCCCTAAATCGGGGTTTGTTCTGTGCTCCCCCGTATACAGCTTACTGGCTTCGGCAATGTAACGGATAGGCTCAAGGGTGCGGCTGGTGGATGCTCTGTGTTGCTTGCTGGCATCTTTCCTTTTAAACATTTACCGTTATTATCTCTCCTCCTTATTTTCATTAGTAATATTCTGCATTTAAAATTATGACATGTGTTTTGTTGTAATTGCCGTGAAATCCTTTTTAAAATTACAAACTAACTCTAAACGAACTAAACGGATAGATTCTTTGCCGTGTTGTCAAAGGCAGTGAGGGGGGAGGGGGGGAACTCTCGTGGTCTAGAGGTTATGGTGCTCGCCATTCATTCAGTAGGTCCCTGGTTCAAAATATGACAGCGACGGAAAGTTTTCTTCTCGAAAATTGCCTCCTTTCCAGCACTCTAATCATGTTATGTCGTCTGCTTTCGTTACCCTATTCTGCCCCTTCCCCCTTTACCCTTTGCCCCCTCCTCTGGGCTCCTGACTCTTTCTGCAACCTTCCTAATGCTACTCCTTGTCCCCTTCTTACAGTTGTCTTTCACCCACAAGTGTGCAAGTTGTGCAGGTTAAAGATCCCTTAGTGGTCCGAAATCAGTAAGAGTAGGCTTCGACCATCACCCGGGCAAAATTAAAAATTAATTCTAACAAAATTGAAAATGTTGAATGTCTCCGTGCGCGCTCATATTATGATCTTATGCAGTTCCGAACGCTATAAAACACTTTTTTTTTTTAAAGAAAGAAAAGGCCGTGAATTCAACTCCGGCTTTTTGAAAGATGTTTTGTCGTGTATTCGAAACGGTATATTATGTGGTGTAGCGGTTAGGCGCTTCGTAGTCGTACGCAGGAGGCCTGAGTTCGCGTCCCATGTGGGGAGAATATTAAATAGAGTATCTTGTGTCTTTCCGCTGAGACACTGTATCCCTCTCAACTGAGGCTGGCCCTGACAAGCAGGATCAAAGCCCGCATTCTAAATAATCTAAACTGTGTCGATGGTGGCGTAAAATGTCTTGTTCAAACAAGAGTATAATAATATTATTATCCGACTTTATGCGATGGATTCAGCACAATTCTGGTTGATCCTGACATGTAGCGTGGAAGAGCCTTGCCCTCTAAATGATGTACTTTCTGCGGTTAAAACAAATCTTTAGAAAAGAAGCTTTACTATAGATCTGTGGATCTTTTGTTTTAAAAAAAAGATGTTTGTCTGTTTACTTTTTCCTTTTCCTTTCCTTTGACGTCA